AATAGGTGATTCTCAGGATCCACCTCACATAATGTGCATTTGCTAAAAAATACCTAATGTCAATAACTAAAAGGCGTTTAAAAATCGCGATTTTTTACAAATTTTGATAAAAGAAAAACGCATATTTGTGTATGACTTAGGATCCACTTCACATTTCTCACATTTTTCTATGCTAAAAAATAAGTTATTTCAATACTATTTAAACCATCCAAACCTTTTTTAAGTTGAAGGTTTGGTTTAGGAGAATGCATTTACACTTTAAAATAGCCTTAATACGAGTGCTATGTACATGTACACCCCAACCCAGGAATTCAACATTTCACTAGTTTTGCGATTCCCTGATGTTTACTTTCGAACTACTTATTTTGGACTTTTTTGTGTCCAGGACAGTGCGACTAAAACCTTTCGTGAAGGCAAATTGTTAATAGAGCTCAACTTTATGAAATGGTCGGTATCAAACGTGCTTGGTCTGTTATATAGGCTATCCCGGTTCATTTCTCATAGTGGACTCAGAGCGTGCTGCGCCCTAGAGACCGGAGGTGGCAGCAGAGCTGCCGCTCAGGCCTCTAAAAGCAGTAGCAATATCAAATCGTTATCTTTCTATCGAAGCACTGCCGCCGGTGAAATCAGCCTGTAACGTTTCGAAGAACAATGACTAGGAGCCTGGGAAATCAAGACAGTTTAATATTACTTGCACAAAAACCTAATTAATGCAGTGCAATCGAATTGGGGACTCAAATTCCGTATGTATTTATGCACAGCAATAGGATCAAAACAGTATAAATAGAGGAACCTAACTTCTTTTCACACCTGCACGTACGGCGCGAAGCCGAGGCAGTTAAAACTGAAAGACAGGCACTTCTTCTTCTAGACGTTCATGGAGATATCTATTGGAAAAGGTTAGAAGTTGGCATAAGATAGGCTGTTCTAATTCTAAGGCATCATTTTTCTATAGATTATTAATGATAAGGATTCGAGAATAATTTGATGCTTCTAACGACAAAGTTCGATCTTCAGCGGCCCGGTTACACAAAGTTCGATCTGCGGCGGCCCGGTTACACAAAGTTCGATCTGCTTTTCGCCGCTCGGGACAGACGCAGCTTTAGACCCCTACCACAGTCTTGTTGCGGTATCATCCAATTTTTCCTTTGGAGTATGTTGTTCTTTGATCTCTTACGAACATGAAGCTGTTTTTACTTTTTTTCTATTTTCAAAATTGACGAGCTTATGAATACATTTAGGCTGCGCTGCAGAATCCGCCGGAATGTAGAATCGAACTTTGTGTAACCGTGTCGCTGCACATCGTCCTCCACCGATAGTTCACCGCACATTTTCCTCTCTGCTTCTATGTTTTACTTCCCCGAGTTTACTCAAGAACAATTGCATCAATGTAAAATAAAAACACATGTGTTTTACTAGTTACGAAAACTCACAATCGCACGGTAAAAACAAGCCCTGGGAATCCCAGGAGTTTTTTCCGTTTCCCAGGGGAGTTGGAAGAGTCCCAGGAGATCTCCTGGAAATGTCTAATTTTTCCCAGGAATTGCCCTGGGATTTGGTCGGTCGCTTCCAGAACCCAGGGTAGCGCTCCCAGTACCCAGGGCAGCCCTGGGAGATATGATGCTATTCCCAGGGCAT